GAGAGTGATCCAAACATTTTTCATGCTGATTGGAGCTCCCAAATGCAGTCAAGAAGAAAGTGAGGCAAGGTGTGGTCTGAATTTTCCCCCTTCTAGAAATGAACACTGTGAACCAAGACTACATTTAGTAGTACCTAACATTTAGCTTTCTCAGTCTGTAGGCTAATGCTTTAGTTACTAAGATATATAAAGCAGTCCTCATTACCCTGCTGTGATTTTTAAGCTGCCACTATTTCCCACAGAATCCTGAGAGGCCTTCATCTGCTCAGTCACTTCTACTGTATCAATCCTATCTGAGATTTGGGAGCAGCTTGTCTCAGTGTCAGTAACTCACATGGTGTCAGGCATCTACTTCTTGAGGTAAATGCTATTTTGAGCATACCAGAAGGCAGAACCACGGCTAGTTAGGGAATATTCAGATTCAACATAGAAGTACCCGGGAGGCTTAAGCAATAAGAGTTAATAAGAGAGGCATAAGAGTTACTAAACATTATTTTTAATTTCAGCTTTGAACTTTGCTGTTTGAAGCTTCTCCAAACCACTTGGAGCTAACTCATGTATTAAAAGCACTACTTTTTTTTTGAGAAATGCTACCAGTCTGTAATTATTGATGACAATCTGAAACGTTGATAGGAATGCACATGTGCGTCGACCTTTGTGCACAGACACCAATATTTCAGTATAACGTGATCGGTACACACTAAATTACATGGTTTGGTTTCCAAACTTTGATTTTGCCTAGCTACTCTCCTCTTCTGACGATGTTAGCTTGCAGTGAAAAACTCAAAACAACAAAACAAACAGAACACACCGGCAGCTGTATCATTTAATAATCAGTTAACAACATGGAGATTGTATTCCCAACAGATAGAGTGGTATCACTTTCAGTTTATACATGCAAGGAATTACAAAACTTAGGCCTACTTTCCTCATTAATTTTTATTTATTTTCATTTTTTTTTAATTTATCACTGCTAGCCAATACAAGCTTAGCATCTAATATCTTAATTTAATAAGGAGAAACTGAAAACTTTTAATAGAATTTATCTAGGCAAGTTACTGGGAATCCTGGCAATTCCCATGAAGAAACCAATGGGAAACTTAGATAAGGCAAGATCTTTACAGAGCTAAAATAAATTCAAATACTCTGTAAATAATTGCTTGAGTGGGGTTTTCTATGCTATTAATATTTTCTGTACTATACAGGTACGGAGCTAATTTTGTACCCTTAAGCAGTTCAAGTGGACTTATAAGTATCAGTGTCCTCGCATTTTTCCATCTAATCCTGCAGTGTCTCAAGGGAAAGCTGCAATTTTCAGAAGACAGAGCAATGCCACACAGCTCTATAAGTAATTTTCCCATAATTGTGCACATTGAGGCAGAAGAAATAACAGGGAAGTTGGCAGAGTCACTATTCTAAAATATTCCCCAGTAGATAAGAGGCACCCGCAGCCCTTGTCTGCATTAACTGCTAAATTAACAGTATCTAACAGAGCAGGATAGAGCCATAAACATTGGGGGCTGCATGTACAGCCATTTCCTCACAGTACTGGTAGGGATGTGCTGCAGTAAGCAGAACCAATACACCCCTCTCCTTTCCTCTTCTCCGCTGACCTCAATAATAGGACCATGATAAGAATACACTTCAGGCATCCTCTAGAGTTAGACCAGGGCCACTGATTGGAAATTACAGTTCAGTGTTTACATTTAAGATGAAGGAGAAATCCACAATAATTGATCTGACCTCATCAGCATGTAAGATTTTAGAAAAAGCTTAGAATAACAAACACAGAAGTTAATGACACTGGACAAAGCTCCACAGCATTCAGAAAAAAGTGTTTCACTTTTCATTCATCTCTTCACAGCCAGTAGTAACATCAGGCTAACTTATTTACCAGAGCTTTCTACCTGAGGAACTGGTTCTTCTACCTACTTAGGGGTCTAATGGAGTTGCATTTCAATATGGTTCACCCTCTTCTCGCATACTAATAATTTCCAAGAAAGATACTATTTTGGAAAGTCTAGGCTTCTCCCCAGTTTCTCCCATGTTTTGAAGTTTTGCAAGCTACTGCTAGGGCCATGTACTAGAATCTTCTCAAGGAAAGAAATGAAAAAAGAACCCAAATACAGTTTCTGTCTGCTCACTATAAAGATTAGGCCTTTTACACTTCCCACATGTCTTCAAATACCTTGTCTTCTTTAGTTAGCAACAAACTACAAAGTTCCACCTAACTCCAACACAAAACACGCACTACAATTTATCTTTCCATCAAGACTTGTTTTGTTGGTTAACATCTCTGCAGGTGTGCCAAATCCCTCATTTACCAGATCCTCCTCCAGATGCAGCCATAAATGCCCATTAAGTCCATAGGCTAAGTATAAAACTTTTCTCTGCCAGCAGAAGATAATGAAGGGTTGGGTGTTCATTGATCACATTACTTCGTGAAGCAAAGACAATTCTCAACAAATCTATTTCCTTAAAAAGAAAGGCTTTTGCTGGGAAAAGGGAATAGCAGTGAATACATGTGAACTAGTAGAATTTTTACATGATCTTTGATGTATGTATGCAGGGAAATTCAATTCTCAGTTCAGCTGAGAAAGATGTGGATTATTCTGAGAAACATGGAACTGGTTAAATAGATAATGGTAAGTTACTTGGAGGGAGTATGTTATTAGTATTGGTCTCATTAATAGTTCCATTCGTGATCTTGATACCAAAAGCAGCAATGAGGTTACAGAACTCCTGAGGACGAAAATATTATATGGTAAGAAATGAGTCATTCCATTACCAGAACAATTTCTTTGAACTAAAATGCTATGTACATGTTTTTGTGACCAACAGATATTTCTGCTTTCACTTTGGTATCCACTGATTGAACATAGAGGAAAAGAAAGATCTAAGTGACAAAAATAATGTTGCTGTGATATAGAAAAATACAGCCTTCATGAAAGGCATTTAGTGCAGTGATATAGTCATTAATCTGACTGAACGAGGTCTCACAAGTAATTTCAATACACTGCAGTCAAGTAAGATGAAATCAAACTCAGACATATAAACAAGAACTATGAGAATAAAGAAAGGAACTAGTATTTGATTTTATGACAGAAAGCTTTGATTTATTTTAGGTATTGTATTGAAGACTTCCAGATGACATTATTGCATTCTAAAACTACATCAAAGAATAAATGTGGTAGAGGACAAAGAATCTTTGCAGTTACAGATGGCACTGAAGAATGAAAAAGTGTGCCTAAAATGACTCTGTGAATATATGTAGACCAAAAAATAGGTTTTTAATAATCAGAAAAAATATCTATTTGGAACATCCTCCCAGTAGTTCAGCTGGATTTTAAATCAAGTTTATTAATTTACAAGTAATATTACTACTGCCTGAAAAAGCAAGGAAATAAACAGTCCTTTCCAGACTCATTCTTTCTGTTACTAGAAAAATGATTTGTCTCAGGGAACATGTTAATGAGCAGAGTTTAGCAATCACTATGAATTAAAAGAGACTTCAATGGGCCTATTAGGATCAGCATTGACAGCTAACTCAGAAACTGTCCTGAGCAAGTCTCAGCCTTGTAAAAACTGAGATTTTTTTTCACCTCAACAAATTCTGCAGGCCACATTATTAGAACCTGCAATGTCTTTTCTGCAATTTTGACACTCACAAAAATTTATTGTGAACACAAAGAAGCGAGTATTGATGAACAGTTAAGAAGTGTGAAAAGCACAAATTGTGTCAAAGAACTACAACATGCAGGAGTTTTGAGCCTTCCTCCACTTTCACATTAAACAGTGTAAATATGGAGACAGTGAACGATTTGGTAGGAACGTGTGCACGGCTAAAAGAGAAGCATCACCATCTTCTTGAAAACTATTTTTGGCAACTGGTGGGCTGTCTTGAAGTACAATTACGTTTATGGTCGTGTCTTGACGGTTGTTTCCAAGGGAGTTATTCCTGACTTGAAGGTGTGTTTACAGAAACTCTCCTCAAACCCGTGTGTACATTTGTATACATACTTGCATACTGACACAGTGTCTGGATAAACCACTTCAGATAAACATACAAGAACCATCCCAAGTGCTTCTGTTTACTGAGATAAGCTCACTCACGTACTTGTGAAAAACCAACTTTGCTGCAAGTAACCGCGCTTGCAGTTTCCTGATGCCCCTCTTTAGGATGGATTTGGATCGAGTTGTATCCCCTTCACAGCAACCAAACGCCAAGGCAGCACATGGATGTTCCTATCTCTTGTATTTCTTTAGTCTCTGCCTCTCTCCTCCTCCCTTACGCACGGCTGCTCTCTTCTCAACCTGCCCCCCTCCCGCGGAGCGCTGTCCCGTCGCAGGCCGAGCAGGCACACCGGGCAGGCTGACCCAGGGCCGCGCAGGGGTGCAGGGAACATCCCCCATCCAGAGCAGGCCCGCTCGGGCTGGCTCCCTCCGGCCGCAGCTCCCGCTGTTCCTCCAGCTGAGGCAGCAGACACCGGGCTGGTAGCTGTCCTGCCCGAGCAGCGCGGGCTGCTCCCCGCGGCATCACCCCCGGACATAAACCGGCCTCCTCCAAGCGCACCCTTCCAAAAAGCCCGTGATCCTCCTTGCCCCGGAGGTGGATCCTCCTTCCCGCCTTCCTCTGGATCTCCCAAAGGCCTCGGCAAAGGAGGAGGCGAGCGCCGGCTCCCAGGGGACCGTGCGGACTCTCCGGCTCACGCAGAGCCCGAGCGGTCCGCGGCGCGGCCGCTCCGCCGCTGGAGGGCAGAGCGCGGAGGGGGCGGTGGCGAGCGAGGGGCGGGCGCCGCCGGGCCGCGTCCCCGGCGTGTGAGCATGCCGCGCCGGGAGGAGGAGGAGGGCGTCCTCGGCCGGGACGGGGGAGGTTCGCACTGGAGTTAGTGCCGGGCAAGGAGGAAGAGGGATCGCTGCCGGAAGCGGCGGAGCGGCGGCGGCGCTGGGAGCCTGCGGTGCCCCGCGGGCAGCGATGTAGCTGGGTGACAGCGGCCGGAGCCGCCGCCTGCGCTGCCAGCGGGCCGGTGCTGCGGGTCAGGAGCCTCTCCAGGGAGGTGGCAGTCGCGCCTCGCCTCTACCCCGCTTTCCCCTGTGCCCTCGGCGCGGCCCTCTCGCCCTCCCTCTCTCCGCCGCCGGCCGGGGGGCTGCGGCCGCCGCCGCTGCCATGGGGCTGCCCACGCTGGAATTCAGCGACTCCTACTTGGACAGCCCGGATTTCAGGGAGCGCCTCAAGTGTCACGAGATCGAGCTGGAGAGGACGAACAAGTTTATCAAGGAGCTGATTAAGGACGGCAGCCTGCTCATCGGGGCCCTGCGAAGTGAGTGGGGCGGCGGGGCCAGGGGCGGCCGGCAGGGGAGGGGGCTTCTTTTGTTTGAATGGGCGCCGGGCGCGGGCTCCCCTGCCGGCAGCCGCCGAAAGGCGCCTCCTCAACTTTCTCCACCGCTTCCTCCCTCCCATCCTCCCCCGTGCCGCTGTGCCGTGCCTCGCCTCGCCTGCGGCTGGGCCGGGTGGGTGTCCCGGGGGAGCGGGGGCGGCGCGGAGCCCTGCCCCGGCCCGGGGGCCCGGCCGCGCCCGCCCCGCAGGGGGCCGCGGGCAGCGCGGGGGCGCCGCTGCCGCCGGGGCGCGGACCGGCGGGGTAGTCCCGCCTGGGGACGGGGGAACAGCCCAGGCTCGGGGCTGCGGGCTTAGAGTAGCAGAATCAGAGAATCCGTAGGGTATTTAACGATTCTGCGATTCTGACTCTTAGCGCTGTGCCCGGAGCCGCGGTGTAGGTTGCTGTACGGTACGGACCAGGCGTGTAGTGTTACCGGGGGTCTCGTTTTGGGACGCTGATTAGGTGTCTTTAGATGACGAAGACGTCCGTAATAAATGGGCAAAGCAAGAGACAAGTGAATTTTTAGGAAGAGAATTTATATATCTCACCTTGCCATACTCCCCGCGTCTTCATGTAGTAGATGAACTTTTTCGAAAGGTATCTTCAAAAGGTTCTGAGAGCAGAGATAAACGTGAGCAGTGTAGTGATTTTAAAGGTCTGTGAGTTGACCAGTGGCAGCTTTCTGGGGTGTGAAAACGGCAATCACACTCTGAAGCGCATAAAGTGAAAGCTGGGAATTGCCAGGAGCGTCACTAGGTTTGCCCTCTTATGTAACTCCTTGCCACTTTTTGTCTTCAAGTCACTTTGGATCTCTCTTGCCTGTTGCCCAAAGTTTTCCTTCAGGTGGAGCAGAGGACTAATTTACAGCATCTCATGCTGCAATATGAGATGTTCAAAGAAAAGAATCACTGTAATCCTTAAAAATATCTGTCACATTGACATGGTATGCTAGTTTTTGTATGGTGAAGAGTAGCAATATTGCTTGTTATGTGGATAGGAACAGGTGTTGCTGAGCTCCACAGCTCATAAGAAACCTAACTGATGCTAACTCAGAGTTTAAACCCAAAATTTGTCTCAGTACCTGGGAGGTAAAATTGTAAGGATTTTATTTGTCCAGTAGGTGGATTGAATTGTGCTTGTCCCTGCATAGCCTGCTTATAGTCACTTTATAGAATTGCATTTACATAAAGTAGCTGTTGTCTTTTTCAGACTTTTTTATATATGTGCATGTATTTCTGGACACATATCCTTTTTAGTGAGTACCTAGGTACAAATCTAGCATTTCATATGAATTTATATTAAACTACTCTATCCATGCCCACCGCATGTGTGATGAGATTACATAGAAGTAGTGCTTGTATATATATATATATATATATATATATATATATATATATATGTGTGTGTGTGTGTGTGTATGTGTATATACATATGTATATATTTATAAACTCAATGGTACGATTTTCTTCCCAGGCAAAAGTTTGAGTTGTGGTTGTATTTAAGTCTTTCTGTTTGCTAAAAAACTTTCTTCGTGTAACAGGAAGTCTGAGATTGTGTTAAGGAGTAAAAAGTTCCTATTTCAAACCTGTAAGATGGTGTGCACAAATAGTAATGACAGATCAGAATACCACATGGGTACTTTTTTGACCTGGACTAGCACTGGAAATTGACAGCGTTTTGTTCCAGATCAAATATGAAGAAATATAACTTTCTTCTTAAGCTGTCTGAAGACAGACTGAGAGAGTTGGGGCTGTAGGGCCTGGAGAAGTAAAGGCTTCAGGGAGAGTTTCCTTCAGCTTTCCAGTAACTAAAGAGTGGTATACGAGAGAGCTGGAAAGGGACTTTTTACAAGGGTATGCAGTGAATAGGACAAGGGGGAAGGGTTTAAATTGAAAGTGTATGAGTTTAGATTGGATATTAGGAGGAAAATATTTACTGGGAGGGTGGTGAGGCTCTGGAACAGGCTGTCCAGAGAAGTTGTGGATGCCTCCTCCCTGGAAGTGTTCAAGACCAGGTTGGATGGGGCTTTGAGCAATTTGGTTTAGTGGAAAGTGTGCCTACCCATGGCAGGGGGGTTGGAATGAGATGATCTTTAAGGTACCCATTCCAACCCGAACCATTCTATGATTGTCTAAGACAGACTGCTGTAAAAGAAATATTGCTCTTGAGAAGTAATTTAAACCTTGATTTGATGTAATACCATTATTTTTGCGAAGAATACTTGTGTGTCCTTGCTAGGCTAAGAGCAATATTTCTATCTTGAGTAATGACAACTTGTAAGTTCTTCCAATTTTTGAAACTTTTAGTTCAAATGTGTTTGACATAATGCTTATCGTGTCCTATAGGCAGCTATAGAGTGTTGTGTTATAGTATCTTTTAACCTTAGGAAAATAAAGTCTGCTCTGGGATAGTAAGAAATCGTTCTCCTTTTGTTCATTTCAAAACCTTTAGTTTCATGACTGTGCCTTCCACAGAACATTGCCTTAGTTCCTATGTTAGGACAGCTGAGGAAATATCTAGATTTTCCTCAACAAAATAGAAGTCCTGGGCTTATTCTGTGCAGACTCTGTTGTAGATGCTTCAAGTAGCACTGTTGCAGGTTCCCTAAAGCACAGAACTTCTGACTTGTTTAAGCAAACTAGCTACTCCTACTCGCCTTCAAAATCAGTGGAGTGTAAAATACTCGTTCAAGGCCTTTTTTTTTTAATTCTTTAATTGTTTTTGAATACCAAACTGTGAGTAGTTGAGTTCAGTGATAACTCTTAGGATTTGATTTTTGAATATTTAATAACCTATAAGCCCTAGAGAAAAACAGGCATTATTTACCATGTTATATCTCTTTAGGCGATCTGGAATTTTTATTTACGTATCATTTTGTAGGATCAGTTCTCTTGGGTTAAAATAATCCGAACTGTGCTGAAGAGCTTCAGTGGAGATGAGTTTTGGAACACATCATCCCTGACCATGTTTAGAGAAGAGACAGTGAAACAGATGTAATGCTGTTAGAAAAGACTATAAAGTTAAAATTGGCTAAATATAAGTTTCTTTACATGAAGTATGTGCATGATTTTTCAGGTAGAATTGAACTTACGTATTACAAATGTTACAAAATATTAATATTTACACAATCAAGTATCGAAGAAGTTACTGTAACAATGTAATGTTTATAAATACCTGATAAGAGATTCCATGTAAATTGAAGGTAGAACAAATACATTTAATGCAGTATGCAAATATTTTTCATTTTCTTTGGAGTGGTCCCAAGATAAAGTCAGTGATTTGGATGTGATTTTACAACATTAATTCCGAGAGAGTGCTGCTTTCCCAAGTAGTCTGCAGAATTGTAATACCGTGTTCCATGAAACAGAAGCTATTGTGAATGCAGTGAGGACTGATAAAGCTAGGATTGATATCAAATCCTCAGCAGCCTTTTCCTACTGTCTTTTGCACTGTTTCCTTCTCTTTCTAAGTAAATTAGACTCTGGGAGTACCCCAGAACAACACAGGTTATATGGTCCAGTTTAGTTGGGTGTTAGCATCACATCAGAGCAATAAGGCTGGTGAAGGGATTCGACCACAAATCCTGTGAGGAGAGGCTGAGGGAGCTGGAGTTGTTTGGCCTGGAGAAGAGGAGGCTCAGAGGAGACCTCATCACTCTCTACAACTACCTGAAAGGAGGTTGTAGCCAGGTGGGTGTCGGTCTCTTCTCCCGGGCAATCAGCAGTAGGATAAATGGGCACGGGCTTAAGCTCTGTCAAGGGAGTTTTAGGCTGGATATTAGGAAGAAGCTTTTTACAGAGAGAGTAATCAGACATGGAAATGGGCTGCCCAGGGAGGTGGTGGATTCACCATCCTTGAAGTTTTTTAGGATGAGACGGGATGTGGCACTTAGTGCTGTGGTCTAGGAACTACAGCACTGTTGGATCAAGGGTTGGACTTGATGATCTCAGAGGTCTTTTCCAACCCGATTGATTCTATGATCTGTATGGCCCTAGTGCCTACTTCAGCCTTGTCCTACAGTTAGTGTTAATAGCAAGAGAGTACACTTCCTTTTTCATATCAGCTGAGGTACTAAACACATTGCTATCTCTTGGAAGGCTTAATTTATGCATATAGTAGATGTTCCTATTATATTAAAAAGTTACCTTTCGACAGACATTTAACCCTGTGAATAGGCACAATTAAGTTGAGGCAAATAATTTACTCTAGTGCACCTGGAGGAGAGTTTCTTCATTGTTAACTTAGGAATTAGGGGGAAAAATGCTATTTAGGAAAAATGTTTCCCTGTTACAACTGGCCTTTTTGATTATTAGGTAACTGTTGATTTCATAACTCTTCAGTCACCTAATTTAATAGATCTTTCAGGTGCATGGTTAAAATCTGTATGCTTAAACGCTTCATGTAGTAGGTCCAGCTGCAAATGGACTCCTAAGGCAGATTGAATTTTTTCCTTCTTATTGATTCCAGCTTGTTTTGAATTAAAACATTGAGTCTGTTTTTTCCTGTACTTTTTGCCAGTCATGTACCTTGTAATTTCTTTGTAGTTTTCTTCTGTAAAACCAATTTAGTCTAGGGTGCTGTCATATAGATTATATAGGAAATTCCACTGTAGAATTACTTGAATACTTTGGACTTCCATAATAGGCCTACTGAAAGTTAAACAATCCAAAGAAGTGACATGCATCTTCTACAGATGATCTCATAGCTCACTGTGTGCAGAAGGCTTCATTTTCTTCCTCCGATTTTTGAGGTCTTCTCCATCTTAGGGCCTATCAAATTCAAAGATGGGAACTACATAACTTTTGGTTTCAGTGGTTGAAAGTTCCATGGATTTACAGCTGTTTTAAGTAATACTGTACCTTTTAAAGTGTTTTAATATGATGCAAACAGTAATGAGAGCTGTGGCATGATATAAATAAGATTTAGCAGATATCTTTTGGAAT